AATCGGGGCGGAGGTAATTTAAACGGGGCACAACGATTGAAACGTGGGGAGAGTTTTCCCAAACGGGGCGGGCGCGCCCGGTTTGCGCAACGTAGGGAGAACCCTGGTTAGATCCTGCACACTGTCCACTTAAGGTAATGTCACTTCCACATTCCACCCATGCCTGCAGAAATGGAAGTGCTTAAAAATGTTAATTTAGTATTTTTACGCGCTAACTTCACACCTATGCAGAAATGAAAGAGATTTCAGCAATCGTGTTTTGTGACCAACAGCTTAGATCTGATCTGGAAAACTATAAAATTTGTATATAGGTGTGGGGTTACTAGGTAAAAATGCTAAGTTAATCAATTGCTACCTCACAATTTTCCTCTGACATTAAAACCCTGCTACTTTGGTAGGATTTTTTGTTTGACATAGTCAAGTGGCGTAATTTATTTGGTAGGTTGAGTGTAGGATATAACACACTGTCACTACCCTAAATGTGTTCCTGTATCATAGAATGAAAGTTCAGTGGCATTAGTCGTAGTTTATAGTTGCAATGTTGTTGACAATGGGCCGTATATCACTCAATATCACAACACTGAACACTCAACTCAATGTTCAGCAACAACTGTGCCAACGTAAATGCCTACCATAGTTTCTGTGTTTATAATTGGTACCGGTAGCCATAAAGCTGCTTATCTAATTTCATGTAAACGCTGTTTAAAATAAATGAACTGATAATTACCTGAATAAGCAAATAAAAGTAACTCTACTGGCTACAGTCTACACTCTACAGAGTACAGTGTTTTCGCGCGTAAACACCTAACATAACTCGCTCATGACTTGGTAGGCATTGCCATTGCCCATTGGTACCTAATTTTTAGCTTCCATCAGTTCACATAATTATGGCTTAAGTCGATTAAAAACGTACTTCTAACACTATAACACAGACTACTTACAATCAGTGTAAGCCGTCTTAGTCTAATTCTTTCTAATTTTGTTCACATTATGATTCAAAGTATTGCAGTTTCCTCTTCAAAATTAATACCGTTTTCGCGGCCATTTTAAACACGTGACCATATCTAGGTGGCGTTTGTATTCGCACCATAAGTACTGTTCAATTGTTTCCCAAGGACTAGAATTTTTCGAATGCTCATGCGTATGCGAGTTTCTATTCTGTAGTGAGATATTCGTCAAAATCAAAATGAGTACTGTGCCTGTAACAAAACACGTCGTCGGTACAGAAACGGCTGGAAATCTAGACGTTTACGTTTATGGAGATTTAGAACAAATAGGTACGTTATGTAGTTAAACCGTTTCTGCTTTGCTCCTACTCTAGATTGTGCGTTATTGCACGCACTCCTTTTCCGACGGCTACGGATTAATGCCCCAATAATGGCATGCCCCTCCCCTCACTAAGAAGAGTAAGTAAGAGTAAGAGTGGTAATTGTAATCCATCAAATGATCAACCTTACACTGTCACTGGAATTGGGCAAGAGTAGAATTATAGGACTATGGTATACCCGGCATCACTTATGATTATCGCCTAACTACACTGCTGAACATTCTGTGCTGTTGACAGTGTTGTTGCTCACACTCACAGGTGGGTGTACCGTGTAGATGCAATGTCAATAATGTAACCCAGCAAGAGTAGGGTAACTCTTGTTGGGTTACATTATTGTATCTAAGGTGGGTGTTGCTGCTTATTCGAATCTAAAATTATAAAATACGCTGTGGCTATATGCCCGGCAGCCGGGCACGGTCTTCGTTTTCCTAAATGCCCGGCAGTTCTTAACCCTAACCCTAAACCTAACAAAAACCCTAACTCTAGCCCTAAACCTAACCCTAACCCTAATCCTAACTCTAACCCTAACCCTTGTTTACTTGAGATAACGCTAAAAATTAAAAACTGCCGGGCATTTAGGAAATCGAAGACCGTGCCCGGCAGCCGTCAGATATACGCCGGCTGCCGGGCATATAGCCACTGTGTATAAAATAATCTGGGTCTGTACCTCAGACTCAGTTTACCTTCACGTATCATCATCGTAGGTTCAGCACGTGATGATGACACCTCAACTCACTGCTGCCTATTACGTTTACTTTAGCATGCATTATAATATTTATATCACCTTTGCACTTTGCATATTATTTAATAACAGTCAAACAGCCATGTAACAAATATTTGCTTAGAGTATAAGATAAAAATGTTTCTTCCTTAGCCTAAAGTGAAGACCGAATTAATATGTTAATACTTATAATCACCTGATTCCTGTTTTTGGGAATAAAATCTTTGATGACATTAAAAGACAGCAAAATCCTTTAGGTAATAAAAACTAGACTAAATATTAGGGGCCACAATATTACAACTTACAGGGGACACCAGTTGGTCAGCCCATTTAACCAATATTAATTATGCTATGCTATGCTGTGCGATCTATGACAGCGATGTGTGTCCCCTGTAATACAGTACTCTTAAATATTCATCTTTTGCAGGATAACTGCTTTATATTCTTTTTTTTTCTGTGAAATGCCTTGTGAATTTACATAGAGTGCAGTATTTTGTAATAAGTCCTTGAGCCCTGATTACCATGTCCCTACATGCTCTTTATATTAAGTGCCATACTTTTCCTAGCTTTGAAATGTATTTATAATGTATTTTATTTTCTGTTTAAATAACCGTGTCTCGAATCTCACTGGTAATGTCGTTTTTTTCTATGCTGCTAATATCTTCCACCTGTTCAAACGTGCTTCTTATATTGCTCAATTCATTATATCAGTTCATTAAAAGTGTACTCTACTGATTTTTTTTAATAACTGCCAAAATACTTTCTAGACACCTCTTCAGACTTAATGTTGTATTGGTAGCACTCTTTAAAAAAAAAAATCTGTAATGCGTAGGTTACAGGGTTTGGGTCTACATCTCATCCAGTGGCACTAATTAGTAGTTAGTCCTTGAACATTACACAAAATCAACCTCATGTTAAAACTTGTGTCCGCATTATTACTAGCAACAGGCTCTCCTTTCGTGTGGTCACCAAAACTGCAAGAAATTCACTCTCTCTAATGTTGATAGCCAGATTTTTTATACTCTTGAGAAAATTCACTGCTCAGGCAGGTTGATCGAACTCACAGCCATTGCTGTGAAAGGCGTACACACTACAGAATGAACCAGTATGGCATTACATCGATACAGCGATCGTAAAGTATGATTTATATAGGGTGGTCTAAAGGTTTTAGCCCGGTAGTTGTGCTAAATTGACAGATTTATCATCTTGATCCTAGATAGGTATATATGGCTGGGGGCATAAAGTATGATTTACTAATCAGTTAGGGTTAGTGTTGCATATATATGTACTCAAATATTAACTCAAGTTTATTCAAACTGGGAATGTGTAATTATAATGGAATGAGTTGGTGTGTGATTAATACATTTCAATTTGCCTCCCATAATTACTCCTTAAAACATGATAGGAATGTTGGATAATTGCATAGCATTGTTAAATTACAGCCATCACAACTTAATAAACAGCTGTGAATATATATCAAGGAACCCATTAAAAATATTATTACTAAGATTCAGTGTCACTGGTGCTCCTAGGGTCTATGTCCCCCAGGGTACTGCCGGAACGTACCCTGGTAACTATCTGATATGGTTAGGGTTAGGGAGTAGGCGTAGGCGACTCCCTAGACTCGTTAGTGTAGCAGGCGAGGTACGGTCCGGCATATTAGATAGTACCAGCAGAGCATATAAATCACGTTGTCCAGATTTATATGCTCTGGTACCAGGGTTAGGGTTAGGGTCCGGCAGTACCCTGGGGGACATAGACCCTCTCAGCGTCACTGGTACCATTGCAACTGATTGCTGTTTTGTATGAATGCAATGATTTACACCTGCTGAGTTAATAAGAATTAAGACCGAGAATGCAAATGAACTGGTAGTGATAACTGAAATTATATTTTGAACACTGCAAGTGTATATATTCTATTTTAGAAGCAAATAGAAGCAATGCAAGGTGGAGCCAACACTGCATGTAATAATCAGTTTGTGTCCCAGAATACATGCAGTGGCCAGTGAGAGCATTGTACTCTTTCTAATTATTTCATATTTACTGCCAGCAAAAACAACAGTCATTGTTATAGCAGTTTTTATATATATTTAGGTAAACTATCCGACAGTAATCGGTGCTCTGTGCTCATATTTATTGCCACAATGCAGTTACTAAAGATATGGTCTCGACGCTCGACTTGTTGCTTTGAATCCTAATTTAAATTCACGTCACGCCATGCACATTATGCCGAGTAGTTGTTGCGTGTGGTGATCGTCAATTTCTAAAGTGGGCGTTTTGCTGCCTCATAAAATTTAAACGTGTTCCTTACTCCCTTCTATTTGTAAGATAAATACTTCACAGAATAAGCAAGTTCTGACATTTTGCTATTATCGCATAGTAGAGCTGAGAGGGTCTATGTCCCCCGGGGTACTGCCGAAACGTACCCTGGGTACGGTCCGGTATACCCTGGTACTATCTAATATGCCGTACCGTACCTCGCCTACTCCACTAACGAGTCTAGGGAGTCGCCTACGCCTACTCCCTAACCCTAACCCTAATCCTAACCCTAACCATATCAAATAGTGACCAGGGTACGTTCCGGCAGTACCCTGGGGCAGTGAAAAAAATACACGGGGGCTCGGGGCGATTAAGCCCCCGAAATGCCAAAAAGAGCCCCGGAAATGCCAAAAAGAGCCCCGGAAATGCCAAAAAGAGCCCCCGTAAATTTGCATCGAGTTCAATGCAAACCAAATTTTAGAGTGCTATTTTTATGCACGCGAGCTTGAAAAGTAGCCCCCGAAAAATAAATAATATTTTTTTCCCTGCCCTGGGGGACATAGACCCTATGAGCCATAGTAGACTAGTTTCATGGTTGGGCGCATTGGCATCACATGCCATTAATGTTATGAGCGTTTTATTTATAGATATATACAGTCCCATTGCCCTGAGGCTATTATAAATATTCATGATAAGCGGGAGTACAGGTGCTTTAACAAAGTTGCGCGTGCAAATATTAAAAGTGCAGTACGCAAGTGCAACGTTACAGTGTTGATTTTATCAGACATGCGTCACATTCCCCTCCCACGTAGCCTACCACCTGCCTTCCTTCCTACTGTTGCTCAAGGGGTTGTTGTCGTATCAGGTACTACAGATATGTACCCGAGGTACATATATGTATACACAAAGTGTACCAGACTTGTACTACAGAAGTGTACCCTAACCCTAACCTTAACCCTAACCCTAACTCTAAACATACCTCATATAAAAATATAAACATAATACTAAACAACCTTAAACTACCTCGGGTACATATCTGTAGTACCTGATACGACAATGACCCCATCTGCCCTACTGTTGTGCCATTTGCCTGATTTCTTCTAGTGCCCAGTATTTATGAGACGACGAGACATGTAGTCAAGACTAACACCTGTGGGGATATAACTGTCTATGTGCAAGGAGATCTCACGTGCGTAGGTAATGAACCTCTGCTCGAAGTGTCGTTGGCGCTATGACAACTCTAACAGAGTTCTAAAATTGGACTTCTTCCCAGAACAAAAACACGAAGAGGAAATTTAACCAGACCGTGCGGCTGTTTTTTTACGTTCGTCGCGCAAGGTTGTTGATTTCCTGTAGCAGTTAAATGTGCCATGGAGTTTTTGCAGATTAGTGTGTGTGTGTGTGTGTGGCAGGGGGGGGGGTACACATCTAGTGCCGGAAATAACACGTCTGGGAAGCCTTGGTGTTATTCGTGAACATGTCTCCTAAGTTCTAACGGGTTCATGTTGTTATAATGCCTAGATTAATTTGTGCCGTAGCCACTTTAAAACCGTAATCGGAAGTCGAGTAACACGTACATGTGCATTTGATTATTAGATAGTGTAGAAACATCTTGACTAATCATGTTTGAATCGATCATACAGCCAAGCTGGGGTTTCTTGAGGGTGTCAGTTGAAACAGATGGCCTCATCAATTATCTAGGTGGTTTCTTGTTTATGAGAAATAAAGTGAAAGGGCCAAAAGGGAGAGAGAAAAAAGAAATTAAACAAAATGTCAGTTACTAAATTCGAGCATAAACTGAAATTGTTTCTGATAGGTATCATATTACAACAAAGCATACAGGTGTGCTGCTTGCCAGAAAGTACCTCGGATTCTCAATCGGCCATGTTGATCTCACATTATTTTCATTTCCCTCCACAATACCTCCACATTCAACCAGTCATTCTACCTGTCCATGGTCGTTATTAGCAGGGGGGTAATAATGGCAAATTTGGCATTATTAACCCCCTGTTATTATGGAACATCCCCCAACTTCTTGTGTCAGGCATTGTTGTCATTGTCCTCTCATATGTAGCAGTCAGGCATCAGTCATCATAATATTTAGTGGTCACTCATTGTTGTTATTGTCCTCTCATGTAGCAGTCAGGCATCAGTCATCATAATATTTAGTGGTCACTCATTGTTGTTATTGTCCTCTCATATTTTTAAACGACAATCTTCGCGCTCTCTCGCTTGCAGGTCGGAAACCGGTCATTATGACCGTGCACGACATGGGCTCGAACCACCGCAGCCTCGTGCAATTCACGCAGCATCCCTCGATGGCAGAGATCTCCGGCCGCGTCGTATACGTGCACGTGGACGTGCCTGGCCAGGGCGACGACGAACCAGACCTGCCCGCCAACTACTCGTTCCCCACGATGCACCAGCTCGGCCAGGAGCTCGTCTTTGTGCTCGACCAGCTCAACATCAAATACGTCGTAAGCGTTGTCATGGCGATTTTTCAATCGGGGGGGGGGGGGGTCGCGCGTGGTTCAATGCGAAGGCCAGATGGTTGTTCGCGTGTGACCATGTGTTCTTACATGTTGCCTGTTCCAGGGTCATGGTGTGCATGTTGGTTTGGGCGATGAGGTGTGGGGGGAGGAGGAGTGTTATGATTATGCAGTGAACCTGCTCGAAAAAGAGTTGTTGCCATCTGCGCCCTGGTAGAAAAAAATATTTGGGGCCCAGCTAATTGCATGAAGCTCCAAAGTTTGTGATTCGTGTTCTTGGAAATTGACACTAAATTGGTGCCCTATTATGCATCGTGATGACGAAGATTCAGAGCAAATACTTTGAGGAATGAACTGTAATTCTTTCCCTCGCAGTTCCTAACCATTTTGAGTATAGTTAAAGTAGTTTTCGTGCTTGTGTCCTACAGATGTATCTCAATCTTAGGAAACAGTAAGCAGAATGTGGTACTGCAATCGTAACACTTTAATTACCATAGTGTTTATGGAATGTTATAAAACTAGCAATCCCTTGCATACTGGGCGATCTTCTGGTGAAATTCTGGGGTCCATGACTATTTTTACTCGCCTTGGCCGACTGTCAGCATATGTTAATTTTCTTTAGTGTTATCTGTATACGTAACTTTTTCTTTCTTGCTCTCATGCTTACGTCTACTGACTGTGGGGGGATGGGATGGTGGGAGATATATTGTGTCTCTGTAACTCTCTCATACTCTGGCCTTCTTACTTTGGTTAGAGGCAGCGATGGACAAGTTTATTTTGTAATTCTGTAATGATCTCACGCGTACTTGCATGTTCACGCTGATTGCCAATCACGGTGATGGGCAGCTGCGTTATGGACAAATGTACCTCCTGCTCTCTCTCTTTCTCTCTCTCTCTCTCTCTCTCTCTCTCTCTCTCTCTCTCGCCTCTCTCTCTCTCGCCCTCTTTCTCTTTCTACACCTCTCTCTTTCTCTGTCTATACCCCTCTTTATGTATCTCTCTCTTTCTCTCTCTGTACCCATCTCTCTCTCTCCGTGCCCCCCCCTCTCTCTCTCTCTCTCGCTCTCTCTTTCTCTCTCTGTACCCCACTCTCTTTCTCTCTCTGTACCCTTCTCCCCTCTCTCTTTCTCTCTGTACACCTCTCTCTTTCTCTCTCGGTACCCTTCTCCCCTCTCTCTTTCTCTTTCTCTCCCTGTACCCTTCTCCCCTCTCTCTCTCTCCGTGCCCTCTCTCTCTCTCTCTCTCTCTCTCTCTCTCTCTCTTTCTCTCTTTCTCTCTCTGTACCCCACTCTCTTTCTCTCTCTGTACCCTTCTCCCCTCTCTTTTTCGCTCATTGTACACCTCTCTCTCTCTCTCTCTTTCTGTACCATTCTCTCCTCTCTCTTTCTCTCTGTATGTATCTCTCTCTCTTTCTCTCTCTATTATATCGATTTAATAATAAATTAAAAAATAATCCTAAATATAAACAAACATGAATGATTTTTGTTTCTGTCATT